GAGCAAAACAACGAAACCTTGATAGTGCTACGTATTGTACTGTAACCTCGTCGAACGCGCATTATGCTTCAGATAATATAGTTGTTGTTTACACAAGTGTTCTTAACAAAATAATACTTTAGTGAATATCTTGCTGGTTACCGAATAAAGCGCCCGCAGTTTTTATGCAGTGGCTTGATAATCAGTTGAAATAATTACTGTAATATTGAATATTGAAAAAAAAAAACTTTAGGATTGGAGGAATTGTACTCTATTATACAACTATTCTGAACAGTCCATTATTACAAAAAACTCGTTTGCCGATATTTATATAATTTTGTGCTTTTTTAACTCACAAATCGCAGTGTATATTGTATGAGTTCCAGGTTATCAATTGTTACACTATCAAATGTTTATATATTTCTAAATCTCAATATAGGACATTGGTTTACATCTAATGTTATAGAGTCATATGTTTGTTTGATACTATAAACAGATTTTCTTTTCTTTTAAATATAGTTTTGAGAAATTAAAATATTCTCGCTGTTTATCCAGAAGTTTACATTCGTAGCATCTGTGCATCAATCACTCTGGTTGCACGCGCTCTGGGCGAATGGATTTTTTTTATTTGATGCTGTGTATATCAAATTGTTTGTATAGCTTGATTTATATTTTCTCCTGCGATATACTAAATATGTGATGCTTTTTGTGAACATATATGGGCCTCCACATGGGTAAAAAACGAAGTGCGAAGTGCCCGTTTTAAAAGGTGTAAAAATCGAAGTGATGCTTTTTAAAAACTGTAAAAAAAACGAAGTGAAAATCTTATAAAAATTGTAAAAGTGATCTGTTTGAGTTATAGAAAGTGAATATCGATATGATTATTTTATAAAATTAGGAAGCTGAAGTGAATTTCTTATAAATTTGGAAGCGATTCAAATATCATACATGGCATACATTGCCGAACATCGCCGGCTTCGCTGGTTTTTGCACAACAAAATCTTGCTTGGTAATAAAAGGGATTAAAAGCGTATTATGATACCCGTATCTTTATTCGCTTGTCAAATGACGGTCAAGTACCCTACACCAATCAGAATGCATGTAATGAAGAAGCTCTGTCGTCTATCGCGATTGCGGAACAATTTTGCAGACGAACTGGTGCTCTGAACGACTGACGAGCACTGACAGTACTGCATGACTACGCATAAAAAGGTTAGTTTACTGATTTTGTTTACCCTTTTTGTTGTTTATTTCTTCAGCCATGTGTTTGAGTTGGTCTGTAAAACTGGACAGGGCCTGTGATTTGGCAAATCGGGTGAGAGAAAAATCGATCGCCTGACCAAAAAAATAAACACTGCTTTAACGGTCATTTAAAAACAAATATGCCGAACGTTTATGGTACAAATGATTACAGTTGTTCCCCCCACTGTTTAGTAGAGATCACCGGCGACGACATCCATAATCATAGGCAACATGACTGCCCCACATTGATGGAGAGGTGAAAAGCAAAACTGCCTGCTATCCGTGTTGTACAAATCGTCCAAAATCGGGTTTTCATTTTATTTTAATTTTAATTTGTTTTTCATTGCACTCTTTGGTGATTAATACAATAATCGTAATAATGTATAATCATGGTCGAACTTCAAATCCAAGTTGGTTTTAATGATAGATTTTTACAAAATGACAAAGTCAATAGACAGTAGGCAGTAAATAGGCAGTAAAATTAATTAAAATTAATCACAGCTCTGTCGGAATGAGCATAGCTAATTTGCATAAAATAAAAAAAAACTGCTAATTTGCCTAAAATAAGTGTTTGGATTTCCTCGAAAATATGGTTAGGTAGGTTTAACGAAAACAAGCAATTTTTGTTCTTTTTGCCTTGTGCATTACATATGATTGGGGGAAAGTTAGGGGTCTTTTGAGGCAAACATTGAGGTGAAAATGATGTTTTGTTTCGTATTTGGATATGCATGTACTAACTAAGACAACTTGTTTACACACTCGGGTGATGTTTTGGTGATGATCTGTGCACTTTTAGGTGGTATTTTTCAGCCACCAAATATTTATTTCAGTCAACAAGAGCGTGCATAAGGAGTGAATTAAAAGTTTCCCAATATTGGACAGGGGACTGTAACATTATATTAATACATAAAATGTGTAATTTCAGGCTAAGTATGGATGAAGAAAATAACCAAAGAAGTAGGAGGGGAAAAAAGAAAAACACCACCACCATAGAAGTCACAAGCACAGCCAGCACAGTTCAAGGTGCCCTCTTGCAAGCCATAAAATGCAGCTGTAGAAACAGAAACATTGTGTCCCTATTGTGCTATATATTGTCTGTCTAATAACCAGTTATTTACTTTTTGTGACCATTTGTAGATTATATTTTGAATAGGTGGTTCCAAAGTTTTAAGGTAGCGAGAAGGGAACTACAAGTTATAGTTTAATTGAGATTAGGACTTTCCTCGCCAGTTACTAAGCATGTACATGTAGTTATGGCAATGTATATGTTTTTAGAAAGCTGCGATATAGCAGAATACGATCATGTATGTTTCGTGATCATGTATGTTTCGTATTGATATTTGCTCAGGGGATTATGTTACAATTGTTCCCGTGAACCTCCTAAATATAGAGTTTTTTGTGGGATTGGCCGTTTCTCGGTGTTCCTTTTTTCTATGTTTCTCACTGTTGCTTTATAAGATAATGATCTTTGAAAATTCGTCTCGGAATTTTTATGTGCCTCATAGTTCTGGAGATAAAATCTCCTTGAACTTTATAGACTAAATTTTCATGTTCTCAAGGCCGTAACTCAACGTCAAGGGCTCACATAAACATCCATGAGACATCATATTTGAGCCCATTTTGTGGCGAATAGATTGTGGAATTTGTACATCGTTCGCTCAGAGAAAAGTGTTAAAAGATGACATCTTCAATAGTTATGATAGTCAAAAATTAGTTTCCATAAATGTTTCTTCGAATTTGGCCACTTATAAA